GTGTCCAATTAAAATATATATTTTTTTAATAATGACGTAAGTTTTGTAATTTTTGAGAAATTATCTATGAATCGGCGGTAGTAACCTACTAGACCTAGAAATGATTTAATTTCCTTAGGATTTTTGGGAATAGGATAGTCGGATACTGCCTTCACCTTGTCGGGGTTAGGTGTGACACCTTTGTCGGTAATTACATGACCTAAATAAGTTACTTCGTTTCGAAGGAATTCGCATTCATCCGGTTGTAGCTTTAAATTGAAGTCTCGAATCCTATCAAAAACAAGACGTAATTTTTCTATATGACTGTGAAGATCGTGGCTGTAAATAATACAGTCATCTAAGTAGACGAAACAGTGGAGACCTTGGAGACCAGAAAGGACGGTATTCGTGATACGTTGGAATGTATTTGGAGCACTTTTTAATCCAAAAGGCATGCGAGTAAATTCAAAATGACCTGAAATGCTATTTATGTTGGTTACTGTAAAACCAGTCTTTTCAGCATCGTTAGGATTGAGAGGAATTTGATGGAAGCCAGAAACTAAATCTAGTGTCGAAAAATATTTGGAATGCCCTAATTGATCTAATAAATCGCAAATTAAAGGAATACGATAAACTTCATTTATGGTCGCATCATTAATGCCGGTTTCTGAGGTACCTTTATCGGCAGTTTATCTATTCGTTAGCGCTATTGGTTCGATAACTTATGAAAATGCGTTTCCGAACATCGCAATGGAAGATAAATTCCGTTTAAGCTAAGTTCAAAAAGAATATCTTATGAATAATACTAGTATAAATGAAGAATTGAAATAAAAAAAACAATTTTAGACTCGATGTCTTCGATGGGTCGAAACAGACCCATCTAGTGGCAAATTATGGAACTTGTTATTGGTTTCATAGTTGTTCAACGGTTGGTTTGGTATTCAGAAAGGCAATGACAGTTAACCGACTGATATCTTATAGATAACTTTATTGAATCAATAGCTAAAGGTAATATAACTGGGAAGTTCAGAAACCGGCCATAAGTCGTCTATAATCTATAACAATGCGCCACTTCTTTTTGCCCGACGCGTCCATTTTCTTAGGCACGAGTCACACTGGGGCGCTCCACGGAGATATTGACGGCTTAATTATATTTTGTTTTAACGTCTTTTTTAATTGTGTATCTACTTCGTCTTTATGTGTTGTTAATTCGTCATAATAGTGGGTTTGGGTTCTTTGTTGACAAATAATGAAGTCCAAAGTTGACAAATGTTCGTTTATTGAACAGAGTTTCAAAAGGTACCTGTCAATATACAATTGAATCAGTATCTAAATTTCACAATTTTAATAAAGAGAAATATTCAAGACTTTATACAAAAGCAATTTATTTGTTTGTTTACAATTATTACATGTTCTGTGAAAGAAATGTATAAACAAAGTTTAGCATGTGGCGACTAATTTTGAGTGCAAAATTACAGCTTAAATTGATACAAAATGAACATACCTTTTGAACGCTTTGATAATATTTGTTTTGTTGAACAAAACTCTTGACAAACAATCGACGGATTGTTGTCCAATACTTTACAATTTTCAGAATTACAATTTGGAGCACGTTTGCCTTTCGCCATCCAGTTTCGCTTTTTTCACTGTTACATGAAGTTATCAAAAGGTAGGCTTGTCGCTTGCCAACTTAATTACACAAAATATGAGAATACATTATTGCCAACTTTGACTCTATATAATACGAAAGTAAAGTGTGAAGTAGGATAGGATCAAAGTTGGGTTAGGTCAGGTCAGCTGTCAATTGATCAATTCTCAACACTCCTTGATCAATTTACAGCGGAGCGTCTCAAAGACTCTTCTGTTGAGTGGCTTGATAAGAATGTCTGCAATCTGGTTGCTTCTCTCGACGTGTTGCAGTGTCACAGTGTTGCCGACGTGTTGCTGGATGTGCTTTCGTGGTATCTCAATGTGTTTCTTTCCTCTGGTCGTCTTTCCTTCGTATGCATTCTGTAACATGTGTATGGCTGACATGTTGTCGACCTTCAGGGTGATCGGCTGATCACTTTCCAGGATACCAAGTTCCAGTGCAATTCGTTTAATTCAGCAAACATTGTCAATCACTGCCACCGCAGCTCTGTACTCTGCTTCTGCAGTTAAAGTCGCTACCAGACGCTGCTTTTGTGAGTACCAGACTACTGGTCCTCCTATCATCACTAACACTTCACTCGTTGACTGTCCTGTCTAAGAGTCTCCTGCGAAGTCTGAATCAGTGTAGGCCACGAGTTCTTTGTCTCCTCCGAAGTGGATTCCTGCTGTCGCTGTCCCTCTCAAGTACTGGAACACACGTTTGACCATCGCCTGATGGCTTTTCAGGGGCTTGTTGCAGAATCGACTGAGGTAGTTCACGGCAAAGCTGATGTCTGGCCGAGTGATTGCAGCTAAGTACAATAAACTTCCTATCGTCTCGCGATAGTTGTTGTTCGCCGGAAGTAGCTCATCGATCTTAAAATCTGCCTTCTTGTTCACCATTCCTTGCTCGATGGGTGTGGATGCCGGGTTGCACTGCTCGAGTTTCATCTTACTCAAGATCTTCTCCGTATACCGAGGCTGATTCACGAAGATACCATCCTGGTCGATCTTGATTTCCATGCCCAAATACGTCAGCTTGTCCTGTGCCTTCTTGCTGAATGTGATCTGAAATTCCTTGTTAATTTCGCCCAGGAGTCTGTATATTTCATCTTCGTTTTTCCCAGCTATCAATCCATCATCCACGAACAGTGAGAGCATAATGTTTTTGTCCTTGTTATAGTATATACACGGGTCGTTATCTGTGTTGATCAGGCCTATCTTCTTTTCAAAGTTTGTGGTAACCCTCTCGTTCCACATCCTTGGAGCTTGCTTGAGCCCGTAAAGACTCTTGTCCAACTTGCAAACTTTCCCTGATCCGTCGTCGAATCCTTCAGGCTGCTTCGTGTAGATGACCTGCTCCAGATTTCCATACAGGAATGCCGTTTTTACGTCGAACGATACCAACTTCATTTTCTCTGACGCTGCGTGACTCAAAAGTAGTCGAATCGATGCATGGCGAGCTACTGGGCTACATCGGCGTAGTCCACTCCTTCCTTCTGTTTAAATCCCCTTGCCAAGAGTCTGGCTTTGAGTCTGCCGTCTGCCTTTTCCCGAAGTACCTAACGACAAGTGATTGGCTTCACTCCTTCTGGACAGTCCACCAGCGTCCAAGTTTTCATTTCCATTAGCGAGTCGTACTCCTCCTGCATCGCTTGTTTCCACTTTTCATCTTTGAGTGCCTCACTCACCGGGATATCTTGAGTTTCACCAATCATGGCTACTTTTGCGCTCTTTCCTCCACGTCTAAAATCAGTTATGCAATCTCTCAGACTCGGTGGTGGTTGCAAAGTTCGACGATCTCGCAAGATTCTCCTTCCTGACTCTTCGGCTGGCTGTCGTGTCCCACTTTCGTTGTCACTTGTCTCCTCAGCACTTTCTCCAGTCCTGTAGTTCTTTTCTTCTTCCTCTGACTCACTGTTGCTTTCTTCTTGCTTTCACTTTGCTTCTCAGGTATGCCCTCTGGTGTCGGTGTCTCAATTTCAGTGCCGTGCCTCAGTCGTATCTTATCCTCGTCGAAGATTACATTATCTGAGCTAACAACTTCTCTCTTTTCTTTCATATAAATCCTGTAGCATGGCGAATCAATGTCATAGCCAACCAGAATTCCCTTTTCTGATTTGCTATCAATCTTGCCTCTCTTCTGTGCATGTGTCAGCACATAACATTCACATCCAAACGGTCGCAGTTTCTCAATCTTCATTTTTCTACCAAATCACAGTTCTGCCGGACTTTTCCCTGGTACGTTGCTGGTTCCTGTCTGATTGATCGTGAAGATCGCATAGTTCATTGCTTCTGCCCACAGTCTCTCGTCCAATTCGTCTACATGTATTGCTGCTCTGGCTGCCTAGACAATCGTTCTCATTTCTCTCTTAATCCTTCCGTTTTGTTCTGGCATGTGTACATTCGTAAATGTGTGAAAAATTCCCAACTTGTCCATTATCTCTTTGGTTTTTGTGTTCTTCAGTTCGGTGCCATTATCAGATCTCAGACTCTTCACTCTCCTCCCCAGTTGATTTTCAATAAAGCTCAGGTAGCTTGCAATCTTCTCGGGGCTCTTCGTCTTCATGAAGTAACAGCTTCGGTAGTGGGTGTAGTCGTCCTTAAACATGAGCCAATACTTGGCTCCTCCCATTGATGGGATGTTCAGTGTCGACATGAACAAGATCTAATGGCTGTTGAGCTGTCTTGGGGTTGTTTGGGTATGAGGATCGATGTTGCTTGCCCTGTGCACACATAATCATTCCAGTCATCAACATATCTTATTCCTTTTCTTTTCAATATGTCCCTCAGATACTTCACATTTTGATGGGCGAGTCATTCGTGCCAAACTTTGATCGACTGGACCATCAAACATTCTTCTCTCCTGAGAATCATCTTGTAAAGACTTCCTCTGCACCTTGCAATTGCCACAATTTCCCTGCCATTTAGACTATAAAATGTCGATTCTTTTCCGTTTGCCTTCTGTACATGTCCCCTGTCCAATATCTAACTTACTGAGAAAAGATGAAAATTGAGATTTGGTACGTAAATCACATCCTCAAGTACCACTGGATACCATTTTTCACCATCAAAAGCCTCCATCTCGATGTTCCCGACTGCAACGCCATCTAGCCTGGTTGAGTCTCCAATCACAATTGGAATTGGCTCGTCCAGCTCCTCAAGCTGCACAAACCATTCTCGATGATACGTCATTTGTTGGCTGGCTCCACTCCACTGTCTTGATACCATGAGGTTGCCCTGTCCTTGGAGATGTCTTTGTCCACTGTCGAGAGTGCCGTGGTCAAAAATGCCACCCTTTTTTGTTTCCCATTTCCTGATTTATTTGCTTCTTCTCGGGATTCACAATCCTTTGAAAAGTGTCCTTTCTTCTTGCAAATGTTGTGTGAGTATTACTTCTTGCAATACTCAATGTATTTCTGACACGGTTTTCCTCTGCGCTCCTTGATCACGTGACCTTTCTTCCCACATTTATAACATGCTAGCGCTGACTTGTCCTGCTTGCTGTTTGACGACTGTCCCTGTTTTTCACGTCTTGCCATGAGAGCGTTGTTAGTGCTGCCCTCTGCATTTGTCGTCATTTCCTTAAGTTGCTCGTCCTCAAGTCTCAGACGTTCGATGAGAGTTTCAATGTTCTTTGTTGGTCCGGTCACGTTGTTCCAGGATGTTCTGAAATGCGCCAATTTTGGCGGTAGCACACTCAATATTCTTGTCATGATCCAACTCTCCCTCATTGGATCATTCTCAGTTGACACTTCTTCAGCCAAGTCCAAAATCTCCATACAATTCTCTACTGCTGACTTGTTTTCATCATACTCAAAGGTAAATAATTTGATTCGGGAAGTTTCCAAAGTGACATCAGTCTTTGAACCATATAAACTAGTTAACTTATCGATCATATCTTTGGCAGTTCTACAATTTGCAATTTTATTCGCAATCTTACTGTTTACATTTAAACCTATCAACGTTTGAGCTTCGACGTCTTTCTTTATCCAAGCTGAAACGTTTGCTTCTGACGCAGCACCAGCTGGTCTGGGCTTTGCACCTGTTACAATTTCGTACAAGTCCTTATTCTTAAGTGCTAGGTTTAATTTAAATCGCCATGAAATGAAATTGACATTTCCCTGACTATCTTCACTTAACATTTCCAATTGAGACTTTACAGTATCCATTTTGCTTTGAATTTTATAATTTAACTGACTTCTGACAATTTTTAAATAAACAAAATGAATTTATAAACTTTCGTGGCGATTTTCTGACTTAAAGCTACTTGTGTGTACGTTGCTCAACGTTGCCTTGCTGTGTGATGGCTGCTCCGGTGTAGCTAATTTGTAGGTTATGTCGGCCGCGCCGGTTCTGACACTCTGGACTGCTTTTCTCGACTTTCCGTCGCTTTCCTGACCTGAATTCCAAAGAAACCCTTTCACAGCTGTCCTGGGCCCATAACATGTTTTTAATTCAGTGGGTTTGGGTTCTTTTTTGACAAATGATGCAGTCCAAAGTTGACAAATGTTCGTTTATTGAACAGAGTTTCAAAAGGTACCTGTCAATATACAATTGAATCAGTATCTAAATTTCACAATTTTAATAAAGAGAAGTATTCAAGACTATACAAAAGCAATTTGTTTGTTTGTTTACAATTATTACATGTTCTGTGAAAGAAATGTATAAACAAAGTTTAGCATGTGGCGACTAATTTTGAGTGCAAAATTACAGCTTAAATTGATACAAAATGAACATACTATTTGAACGCTTTCATAATACTTGTTTTGTTGAATAAAACTCTTGACAAACAATCGACGGATTGTTGTCCAATACTTTACAATTTTCAGAATTACAATTTGGAGCACGTTTGCCTTTCGCCATCCAGTTTCGCTTTTTTCACTGTTACATGAAGTTATCAAAAGGTAGGCTTGTCGCTTGCCAACTTAATTACACAAAATATGAGAATACATTATTGCCAACTTTGACTCTATATAAAACGAAAGTAAAGTGTGAAGTAGGATAGGATCAAAGTTGGGTTAGGTCAGGTCAGCTGTCAATTGATCAATTCTCAACATTATGGCATTCACGAAAACGGTATGATTTAACGTGAATAGGAGGGGTGTTTCCTGTATTAATCGAGTGTTGAATCGCGTTTGTACATGTGAGGTCATCTACAAGATAGAATATGTCTGAGTATTGTGAGCAACAATCTAGCAAGAGTTTCTTCTCCTCAGAGTTTAGATGAGAGTGACGAATTTGTTCGCAGACGCGTTGGACACGATTAGAATAAGTTGTCGAAATTGTATTTATGTTATTACAAGATTCAAAAGATTTGGAATATTCTTTGAAATCGATTGGCGTTAATTTGACTTTGAAATTTTTTATTTTAATTTGCGATTCAGTTGTGTTCAAAACGGAAACGTTAACTCTTTTATTTGCTTTTAAAGTTACTAGGCAGTTCGCTAAATAAACACCATTACAAACGGTTTGATCTAGTATGAGTGCATCCTTAAGGTGACGCAACTCGGATGGGTCATTTGTCACGGAGCATTCGATAACAGTTTCGCTACGCGCCGCTATAATGTATGTAGGTTCCGAAAAGTGGATAGGCACAGATATAGAATTTTTAAAACATAGTGAATAAGTACGATAATTTATATTTACTTTAAAATAACTGAGGAAGTCGCTTCCTATAATTCCGTCATAATCAATATTAATATCGTCGGATGTGACACGAAATTTGTATTTTATGGAAAAATTATCTAAAATAAAATCTAACAGTAATGTTCCTAATGTTTTGTTACAAGATTGAGTGCTGTTTATACCCTTGAGTTTTACAATTTCATTGGAGAGCGTGAAGTTTCCATTTAAACTCGATTTTTTTTTATAATAGAGACACTTGCGCCTGTATCGAGTAATAATCGTAAGGGTTGAACCGAAAAATTCGACCTAAAATAAACATGAGGTAGTGATGTTTTCTTACTTGATGTGTTCATACTATATGTTGGTATTTCACCTTTATTATCAGTTAATTTATTGGTAGGATTAGTATGACTCGAAATATCTTTTCGAGATGTAGGTTTAGTATGAGATAGCATCATTGTAAGACACAGAATTGGTATAAGAATTGGTACAAGAATTGGTATAAGAATTAGTATTAAAATTATTTTTAAAACTCTGATGTTGATTCAGAGATGTCCTGGGATAATTTTCCCGAGGTAATAAATAATTAGAATTATGACTTTGACTTTGTGTCAAAGATGGACTCGGATATTGTTCCCGAGGTGTAGAGTTAGAATAAGAAATAGTATTTTTAAAATTACAAGATTTAGTAAGACTGATTATTATGATTAAACTCGTTATCATTATATATAGGATTGGTATAGGATTTGGTAAAAGAGTTAGTAGAATAGCAATAATTATTTGTGCCTTTGAATGTTTTCGATTTCAGTAGGCACTTTTCCGAAATCGGTGTTAGTTTAAATCTTCGTCACAAATATAGGCTGTCGTGAAGCGACAATTAAAAACTAAATAACCTAACCTAACTACAACAAAACAACCAAAAATAAAATAAATTATTTAAAAATTTGAAAAGATTTACAGTTTCTTTTATAAAAAAAGGTATGAAGGTGATGATGGGCTGTAATGATGATAGTGATTTACAATATTATTAAAAAAAATAACAAAAATAAAGATACTGCAACGAAGTATGCACAGGCTATGCCTATGATAGGTGCGCAGCGCCTGCTCTAGGTACACGCAGAATCTGGAGAAAGCACATGCAGCGTCTGGAGAAGGTACACGCAGCGCTTGGAGTAGGCCCACGCAACGCCCGGAGCAGATACACGCAGCACCCGGAGTAGACACGCAGCGTCTGGAGTAGGTACACGTGGCGCTTGAAGTAGGCAAACACAACGTCCGGAGTAGACACACACAGCGTCCGGAGTAGACACGCAGCGTCTGGAGTAGGAACACACAGCGCTTGAGACAAACACGCTCAGCGGCCGAAGATAGCGCGGGCACTAATAGGTGGAGGCGTAGGCGTGGCTAGGCGACGACTTCAGGAGAAGGCTTGCAAGATCCCGAGGCAGTGCGGATAAAGCCTTTAAGAGGTGCTTCTCGTATCAAAGCTGAAGTGAGGCTCTATCGGCCGATTCTTCGGCTTTTATACTTTTTGACGGATCTGGGATAAGAACGAGAAATTATTTGAAATTATTTAAATTAAAAGCAAATTTTTGTAAATGGCCAAGAAGAAAAGAGTATTTTTGAAGTAAAAACATCAGGCCGGTAACAATATTTGAATACAAATTGCCACGACAACCAGATAAACAACGATGTCAAAACATGTCAAATTTTGGTTTTAAGCTCGTAATACAGAAACGGCAAGATTTAAGTGAAAAATGAGATATTATTTATATAGGAAAAAAGGTAGCGCAAGAGCGCGCACGAAACCCGAAATTGTAGAGTTACGGAGAACTAAATAAAAGATCGAAAAAGGTAGACTCCATTGACACCGATTTAAAAAGTGCTGATAACGTGAAAATACGAAGTGAAAATGATTTGTTATTGTGTTCTTATGAATTAAAAATATTACAGGATCCTATGGAAATAAAGGTGATGCAAAATATCCAGTTTTGAGGTGAATGTAGAAAATCAAAAACAGAATGGAAAAATAAAAATAAAATAGTGTAAAATGATATGTAAGTATGTATGTAAGCATAACACTACATTTTCCCCCCGACCCTGGAAAATTTTTGACTCAGCAAAAATTTTGAGATGTACATTCCAAAATAAACCATAAAAACACAGCTTTGCAGTAACAGACATCACCAGGCAAAATCAGATATACAATCTCTTACATTCATCATCTGCATTCAGGTAAGGGTGGAGTTCATATTCAATGACTACCACTCTAAAAGTGTGTTTTCGAAAGGACATTCAGGCTTATTTAAGGAGTTGTCATCCGCTCCTGCGTGGAAAAAAAAATTCGAAAGGACATCCAGGCTTATTTAAGGAGTTGTCATCCGCTCCTGAGTGAAGATAAAGTTAAAGAAATTAATCTTAAGCAAGCTTTAGTCGCTATGACTTAAGTAAAGATTAAGAACGGCCAGAGCGGTAGGGCTCAAAGCCAGAGATGAGCAACATCACTAAAAGTACATTCAGGCTTATTTAAGGAGTTGTAATCCGCTCCTGAGTGAAGATAAAGATAAAGAAATTAATCAGGTAATAATTATACATATATACAAACACATATACAAATATACAAACACATATACAAATATACAAACATATATACAAATGTAGTGTCATGCAAAACAGTATTAGCTGGTTCCTCACATCTAATCTTCACTTCGTATTTTAAGGAATTCGTACTCAATAACCCTTTTCATTGTTTTAGTTAAGTGCAAATAGAATAAGTAATAAAATAAAATAAAGAATAAGAAATAAAAATTTAATTAAAAATTGTACCTCTTTAAGTTATCTAGAATAAAAATATTAAAGTGATGAATGTAAGTGAAGTGTTATATGTAGGTCTAAATATAATCCAGATAAGTTGAAAAACTAGACGAAGTTTTGTTTTAGAATTTGGAAGATAGTACCTCTTTAAGTTCTCTAGAATAAAAATATTAATGTTATGAATTTAAGTGTTATATGTAGGTCTAAATATAATCCAGATAAGTTGAAAAACTAGATAAAGTTTTGTTTTAGAATTTGGAAGATAGTACCTCTTTAAGTTCTCTAGAATAAAAATATTAAGGTGATGAATGTAAGTGTTATATGTAGGTCTAAATATAAT